AGAGCTCACTGAGATGTGCAGTGCAGTTGTTGCTCCTCTTTCAGTTGCTCCCCATTGTTTGGGGATTTCCAACAGCAGATAACTGTACAGGCTTTATGCCAGATGGAATGTGCAGTGCAATACTTCTCAATAACTGATACTCAAGTACAAATGTGGAAACAAAATAAACAACTTAAACTAAAAAATATCATATTGGTTTGCAAATTGTCACTTTGAAGAAACCCTGGCTCTAATCCAGCAGACGCTCGAGTTTCTCATAAATGGAGAAGGACAGAAGCAAGGACATAACTGGTGGGTGGAGGCTGTCAGTCCAGCCCATCCTTCATATGAGCTAAGGATGCCACAGTAAATGTCTGGCCTTCCCATTCACCCCCCCTTCCTTTTTGCCCCCTCTATCCTGAGAAGCGGAGCACTTAGTCTAATGTGAATAATGACGATGACTGTGTTTCAGACTCGCCCTTATCCACTGCCCTTATTGAAAAAGCAGTATGAACAGGCCGAGATTCATTGCTATAAATGATATCATCCCACTCTCTGCCTTCTGATGCTAGCCTTTGCTCATTTCTCACTATTGTTCCATGTTCTTTGCAAGTTACTGTTTCTTTTAATGCTGCAGTCATGACTCACCTTTCTGTCTTTTGGATAAACTCACCTCAGTCTTTTTTAGGGGCAGAAGTGTTACAGAAAGAAATGTTCTGGGCACAGGAGATGATTTCCCACAGTGCCTTTATTTCATTTCATACCTAATAACGTAAACCTGCACTCACCTTTCCAACAGTATCAAGACATTTTTATTCTTTCTCTTCTGTTGCTTTTAGTGACTTCCTTTCTGTTTAGCCCCTCGACTCCCAGTCATTCATACATTTTACCGCTTCTTTCTATCATACTATTAGTTTAAAATGTATGAGACAGCTTTCTCTTGGCTCACATCGCCCCATAAAGAAGTAGCTTTAAAAAAACAAACTCAGCTCCCAGATCCAGGTTTGGAGCCAGACAAGTCAGAGTGGTGTTTATTAGCTTGATACCCAGGACACAGCATAGAAGTAACACCAATATCAGTGCTTCACCTAGAATCAGCTTCACTGGTCCTAGTGTTTTGGGAAACGCCATACATCAGATTCCTTCTAAATTCAAACCATATAGTGTTTTTATATACATACATGGATGTGAGTTTACTGTCAGGAAGGCTTTTTTATTTAAACTGTCTGAAAACACATAGCAAAGCTGTTATTATTCATTGATCAAAGCTGCTATTAAAAACTCACATCAATTAATAATATGCAGTTCTTAAATAAAAGATATACAGGACATCTAAGACTATAAACTACTGTATTTTTATCAGTGCTTCTGTCTTCCTTCCTGACTTTTTGTAATTTTAGAGAAAACAAGCCATGAGCTGTGCTGCAGGGCTGACTGCGTGTGTGTCTTCCTGTGTATGTGTGAAGTACATGCTACTGATGATGTTCAGGGAATTCTCTGTTGTGTTAAACACAGAGGAAGCTTAAATGAAGACAAAGTTTGAGTGGTGAAGACTCAGCTTTGTGGTTTATAGAGATGCATGCTGATACAGAGTGGAAATATTTCAAAGACATAATGCTTACATGACCTGCTTGGAGTTCAGCCAGAGGCTGAAGGATTATAGGGCCAATAAAGGATCAAACATAAACAGCTCAACTGATTTGTCTGTTTGAACCTGACTATTTGTAATGAGGTATTCACAGTCATGCCAGAGTTAAGTTCAACAACACAGCCTCTCCAACACGATGTACATGTAAAATATTGTGCCAAAGCCCATATGAGTCTATACTGATAAAGTTGGCTGTAAATTGTAACATTTCAACTTTTGGTTTTCATTTTTGGGTCTTGTTTAATCACAGTTCTCATTGTAGGCATATTATTGAGTAAAAAAAAAAAATAAATTAAATATGCATGCTTAGAAATGTTCTAAAAATTGCCATAAATGATGATACCCTTTGGTCAAAGGTTAACAAAAACAAAAATATACTCTAAGACAATTAGAATGTTTGCTGTGTTACTCCTGGTTTTACTTGAGTTGGACTTGCTAACATCAGCTGACTGTGCAGGGTTATGACTATAAAAGGGAATATCACAAAAAAAAGCTGCATTTGTTTTCCAAACAACAGGAAAAGTGTCATGCATTAGTTTTAGTCCAGTAATCTATATTTTGCTTCATGCTGGAAGAACTGACACAAATTCCCCTGTTATATCTGCAAGAGCCTTTTTTTTAAATGCTTATAGTCTTTTCACCAAGAAACTAATTGATCCTTGCCAATTTTACCAACTGCTTCACAGAGCAAAAATATTTTATACACATGTATTGAATAACTATGTATTTTCCAGTAAGTGCTGAGTGTGTGAGATTATAACAAACTTTAAACATGCTGCTGTATAACTTTGATGAGCTCATACCAATCTAATGCTTGTCCCCTGCAGGCGATTCATGTAACACTGTGGCAGGTTTCACTGGTGCTGACATTAATAACTACTACACCTGTTCACATGCCCCAGTCTCTCCCAAAATGCAGAATAATAGCTTGCTGTTACAGCAGATATTGGTCAGGAGATGTTGAAGACATCTATGTATCTATCTATAAGCTCATCACACAACTATATCAAACATTAGCTAACAATGAAATTGATTTCTTATGACTTAGTACTAAGAATTTCTTCCAAACGTGCCCAGTCACGTGTGCTTTTGGTTGGAACAGAGATTGACAGCCCTGGCACTTCTGGCTCTTATAAGACTCAGAGGCTGGTGTTTTGATTGATGCATCTGAACGGGCAGCAATCCTTTGATTAAACCTTCTGCTAGTCAGTCCACACCCTGCACACACAGATTCACACAAACATACATACAGACAGACCTGGTCCTACTATAGTTGTGAGGACACTCACTGACATAATGCATTCCCTATCAACTTACGCTAACCTTAACTATTACAACATAATGCCCAACTTTAACCTAAACTTAAACCTACTTCTAACCTGAACCCTAAATGTCTAAATCCAAGACTTAACCCTGAAAAAGCCCTTTGAAGTTTGCTAAAATATCCTTACAATGATGGTGCTGAAAACAAATTGGTCCACAAAATGTAATGGTAGGGGAGAAGCTGGAACTTGTGCAGGAGATGGAGCAATACCAACTAGATATAGTTGGGCTTACCTTCACACAGAGTTCTGGCTGTGGAACCAAACACCTGGAGAGGGGTTGGACTCCATCTTTTTCTGGAGTTGCCCAGGGAGAGGGGCACCGGGTGGTTGTGAGGATACTCACAAATCTCAGGCTGAGCACTGCTGTGTTGGAGTTCTCCCCGTGGAACGAGAGGGTTGCTTCTATCTGGCTTAAAGTCAATGGGAGGAAAGCTCTGACTGTTGTTTGTGCTTATGCACCGAACAGTAGTTCAGAGTATGTGGCCTTCTTGGAGATGCTAGGTGGGGTCCTTGAAGGGGCAACTGTGGACTCCATAGTTCTACATGGGGACTTCAACGCTCACATAAACAATAATGGAGAAACTTGAAAGGGGGTGACTGGGAGAAACGGCCTGCTCGATCTGAACCCGAATGGTGCTTTGTTGTTGGACTTCTGTGCTAGTCATGGATTGGCCATAACATGGTCAAATCCTCCACTGTAGAGGCGGCTGTTCTGAGCTATGACCACAAGGTTGTTGGTGCCTGTCATAATGGCAACCTGAGAACCCACTGGTGGACAGCAGTGATGAAGGGAGCCATCAGGGTAAAGAAGGAGGCCTACAGGGCTTGGTTGGATCAGAAGTTTGGTGAGGCTAGGGAGAAGGACTTTCAGTTGGCCTCAAGGAAGTTCTGGCAAACTATCCATGGAATTAGAAAAGGAAAGCAAGATATAATGTATATTATGTACATATATGGAGAGAGACAACCAAATCATGTGTGTGCTAAATAATACAATTTATTCAACTAGCCTCACATATGTTTACAGCTATACTCTTATAGACACTGCATGAATAAATAAATAACTGTACTTTCACTCTTGACAAACACTTTCAATTCTGGATTTAAAAGTAGACTCTTTTGTTCCTATGCTTTTTTGTTATATATATTTCTCACACAAAAATACGGCATCATTGCAATTTACAACATAGAGCCACAAATGATTCTTTTCTGTGTGTGTGTTCAGGTTGTGGATGAACCTAAGCTACAACACGTTCAACATGAGGCTTGTCTGATGAGGAGGAACATTTACATTCACATTTAAGTCCAGTGAGATGGCCTGACACTTTGCATAGCATCAGACCAGCAGTCACTGTGTTCTGTTATCTTGGTGGCATATCATCATTCCCACAGCTGTTATTTAGAAGTTAGAAGAAGAGACAGGATCAGGTCACAACAGTGTCTAGCTGTACGTCAGTAAGCACACCAGCATATGAGGCTCAAACTCCCTTTCACACTCTATACAGTTGTATAGAGACAAACTACAAGACAAACTTCCTTTATAGTGACGAACTACAATCTTGTCACTGTAAAGGATAAAGCTACATACATATATATTGCAGTTCTCTTATTGTCAACGAATCCTTTGAAGAGACCAAAATCACCAATAACATGATCCTGCTAACGAGTGTCGCTATAGCCAAAGCCTAGTACAACTCCAAATCAGAAAACGTCAGGACGGTATGTAAAATCAAAATTAAAACGGGAAACAATGATGTGTAAATCATCTGTGCCCTGTATTACACTGAAAACAATACAGCAGCACATTATGTGATGTGATACCTCATCAATTTTATTCAAAGTGTTTGAGTAACATCTTCTGGAAACTACAGTGTGCAGCTGTGTTAGGAAATTGTTCCATCAAGGTAAGTAAGTAAGTAAGTAAATAATAATAAATAAATAACATATTTATGACCCTCTTGAAGGGATTTAGGTCCTCAAGAGTGAATGGGTGATCGAGGACCACAGGTGGTGTAGGGACATC